GGGAAGACCAATATCAACATGCCACTGTCCTTTGAACCTGTGATTCCAGTTCTTAGGATTTACTGAAGACAAGACTGCAGCCAAGTAGTGTCAGGGAAAGGTTAAAGAGTTTCTGCCAGCTTCCAGTCTTGAGCTGCCTGTGTAGCTGACCAAAACTGCATCCCCAGTGCCGGGCGAAACATGGGAACTACTATTACAGTGCTGCCCCCCCCCATTTCTGGGAACAATTCACCTAAAAGAAACAGGAAGTTTTCCTAGATTTCAAGGCCAGTGGAGACCCATTATGCTTTGTTGTGAGCTGTGTTCTGCTGGAGGTCATAGGATAGAGTTATGTCTCCACACCTCCCTCAACACATTTGTCATTAGGACAGAAGACAGATAAATTTTTCTGCACTAAGAAAAATGGCAGATGCAATTTAGCCTTCTGGACTCCTGGTTCTAGGGTTAAATTACTAATGAGTCTACAAGAATCAGAAGTCAGTTTCTGAATTTTTTGTAGGTTCCCTATTACACTTATTAAATGGTACTGCTTCAAAAATCCATGGTTCTGTAAAAGGACAATGTGTGTTATCTCATATTTCTGGCCTTCAAATTGTTGGCCTACTCTATAACATCACAAGAGTACTTGCTGTTCAGAGCAGCTGAGTAGGGATATAAATCTGCAGTTTACCTTGGCCTAAGTCAGTGTTCAGTTTGCTTTACGACTTGCTCATGCTAATCAGGTGTCCTACTTTCCTTTCCATCCCTCTCTTCCAGCTATAAATCAGGGGTGGTGGTGGGGGGTGATTTCTAATTGCCTCTCTCATTGTGATTAATACTGGTATGTTGCTATTTCATGGATTTCTGTTTTGAGCCTTTTGGAAAGAAAACTGAATCCATATGAATATGATTATAAGGCCACTTAAGCAGGACCCTCTATTCATGGCTAGGGGAACATGTGTTTCTTAATTCTGTTTCCTGTTATCACAGTAGTGTCAGCATAAATAAAACAATGATCTTTGAAAGAGAAGAGATGCTCTTTATTACACATTTGAGATTTTTTTTCTTCTTCTTCAAGGGACTCTATGTTATTCTATACAAAGCATGCTTATGCTTTATAGATTTATGCCTGCCATGGTAAATTAGAGTACAAATTAAGTGTTCACTCCTAAAGAGCTGTATCTCTCTCTCTCTCTCAACTGTTTCTGGTAGAATTAGAAGAATATGATGTCTTTCAACTTACATCCCTTTCCCCAGTGAGGAACTTCTCCAGTGAGCCACATTAAATCTCACCATCTGAAGGAGTTGTTTTCCAAAAGAAAATAGTTTCATTGATCCTATTAACTAGCTGTTTTCGATAGAATAAACAACAGAGAGTAGAGATGACTATAGAAAGTAAAGACTGTTTTAAGAAAGCAATCTGGCACTGATCCAGGAATAAGATTTGTGTGGGTGGCCCTATATGTCTTTTTTTTATATGGGCCCCATAAGGGCCTGTTCCTTTGGATCCATTTGCAGGGCTGAAGCCCATAATGTACACGTTTAACAGAGCTTTGGTAGAAAGATTCAAAATATTCTAAGAATTCTAGCTAAGGTTTAGTGTGGTTTTGCTTCTTTTTAAATTGTATCGCTCCCTGTTGTGACTTCCTTACATTACTAACCACTCTAGTGTTTTATTTATAAAACTGAATTGAATTAATATTTATTATTCCTTTTCTGTCCCCTTCCCTGACATCTCTTCTACTCACCCAACATGAAAGTATAACTTGGTTGCAGTGATACAGATCTTTCAGGGCCAAAATGGGGGGGTCTCATGATACTGATGCTCCCTGACCAAAAGTGGCAGTGTCTGCTTACTGGTTAATGGAAACGTTAACTCCAGGTAATTCTCTCACGAGCTCAAGGAAATAAAGAAGGACAGCTGCACCCAGTTTCTGGAAGCCAATGTGAAAAGGCCAGTCTGCTAGAAAGGACTGCTGCATCAGGGAAGAGACAGCTCTCCGCTCCTTTCCCTCTTAGCCCTCCCTTGTTTTTGACTATGGAAAAACAATACAGCAGTTCTTCTGTTGCAAAGAATTCAGAAAAACCACAGCAAGTCAGAATGGTGTCGATACTATGGATTTCTATTTGAAATCTCTGGGTTTGTCTTGTGAATCCTGTATTTGCCTACCCAATACTGCTAATATTGTGTGATACCCTTAAAAGGATTGTGCTCACCCTGATTGAAAACCACTGTTCTAAGTGGTCTCCTTTTGTTTGTCAGTATCCAAACATTGAAATTTATACAAGGTAGCCAGACATAGCATTGATTCATTCCCAGCAGGATAATTTGTGTCACTAACCAACATCAAATAAATGTCTAAGGCCTCGTCTTGAGAGAGATTCTAGAGCAGCAGCAGTGTTGGAGTGATGTAGCTGTGATGGTCCAGGAATTATGAGAGAAGCAAAGATTTTTGTGGGTTATATTTTTTATTGGGCCTGTGAGTGATATCTTTATTTATTATCCCAGCATGGCTGGGAAAAAAGACAAACTTTTGAATGCAAGGCATTCTTCATCAGATCTGAGTTCAGAGTTAAATCACCTCTGTAGAGCAGAGTATGGCTTTTTCCACCATCTACCAGCTGGCAGAAGATGCCTGTAGGCTGATATTTTTTCATGTTTGCTGGCTATTACAGTCTCTTCTCAGGATACTATGGTGCACAGCTGTTAGGCAGAGCTGCACATATACATACTTTCTGGCACCTGCCTTCTGCTGCCAAAATTTCTGATGGCAGAGGCAGCTGAGCATGGGCAGAGCCTTATGTTACAACTGAACACACAGTTGGAGATCTTTTTTGAATGTTCAAGCTTTGACATGCTCCTCCCAGTGATTAGCATTACTACAGCTCAACCTCTTGGACAACCACAGCAGGCAGATGCCAATAGGTCACAAATACAGTTTCACTAAAGAGAATTTTTCAGTTCAAATGACCATTCAAATATATCCTCACTTGTCACTTAACTCTAAAAACTGAGTAAACTGACGCAGTTATAAGCTCAGGATGGAGTTGATGACAGAACCGATGTCAGGATAATGAGAAAAAACAGTTTACTATTATAGGAGCCATTTTACTTCTCTCACCAAATAAACCAAACACCCTAATTAAGAGTAAACTGAATTAAAAAATTGTTTTGAAATAGACACCAAATGTTCTGTGGCTTGTCTTTCTCCTGTCTGAGTAGCTTGACCTCTCACTTGCATGCAAAGAAGCATCTCCACAAGCTATCTGTTTCCTGGACCTTTGGTACATTAAACTTATCCTGACACACAGCACATCAGCATTATGGACTGTATATATTATGCATTGTGCTGTGTATGTATCACATTTTACAAAAGACTTTGTGTCCCTGAGGGTTTCTGCAGTAATTTCCATGATTTCATCCTAGATGGCTTTTATGTGAAAGACGTCAGTTAACTTTAGCCATGAAGAAGAGAGAATACCAGTAACGAGACAGTGATTAAAAGGCAGAATTCATTCTAATGAATGCATTTCTAATGGTTGCAGTGGCGGAGTGGAGGTGCTGTTTGTGAAAAGTTCCAGGTGCTGAGTGATTTATCCACAGTGGTTTTGGTGACTCTAATTAAGCATCAAATCACTAGGAGTTCGGGACCCTTCCAGTTTATCACAGTGGCTTTCGTCAGGCAGCCCCAGGGGTTTGAAAGCAACTGTCTGTGTGATGCTTGTTCTGTCGCACAGAATCCATCTTAAGGCTCAGTAGGCACTGAAAATAGGTTATGTACAATTAAATGGGTTGTATTTTTATCTCTCGTGATGCCTTATCCTCGGCTTCTCTTTTTTTTATTTTGTAGAACTAGACCTAGAAGGGATCTTGTTGCTGCTGAGGTTAGGATTTGTGGTTGGGGTTTTTATTTGTAAGAGCAGTCGACCTCTGAACTTAGATGTAGATACCAGCAAATACTAGGTGCCAGTGAGATCCAATGAACAGCTGTTGCCTTGAGAACTGTGCCATTACTTCCTCCACAGGCATGCCACTCACTGCTGCTTTGTTCTGGGTGTGACCCACAAATCTCCCCACCTTGCCTCTCAGGATAATGCCAGCTGGGCAGTACTTACTATCTCTTGGGCCTTATCTAGACTAGGAAAAAGGTGGGTATTTTCAATGCCAGTAGCTTACCTGAAACCCTCACATAACACCAATGTGGACTGAAAACCCCACATTACACCAATTAGGTGTGTTTTAAATCACATTACCAGCATTAGCTTGAAAAAAATAACTGCATCTAACATAAAATGGGGCTTTCAGAACAAGTCAAGCTAACTTCATCTGGTGTTCTAGGTCTGAATGTACATACGTTTTGAGGTATTTTGGATCTGAAGTTCTGGGTTTTGCTCATTGATAACATGAATCCAATTTGAAATAGAAGCTGTCAAAAAATTCAAAAGGAAGGCAAGGGAGAGAGATCATCTGTGTGTGCAGCAGGGTGTTGATGTGCTAGCAGAGTGACAGCTTCTACAGAAAATCTTTGCCATGTGGCAGAATTCAGTAAGCTACTGTGCTTGTGGGATTTTATTTCACAAACAAGCTTTCAGGCCACACACTGATCTCTTTCATTAGCAGAAGACAAAGGGCAGATTATAGATTCTAGTCTTTGATTTGATCAACCACCTGCTATGTCTGTCTTTTGCTTTTGGACCCTCCAGAACTGTCTACAAGCAAGTATATCTCTAAATTTTCTCTTGCTTGGATGTTGACTTTTCAAGTAAAATAATAACATAGATAATTATAAGATGGCATCTATTTCCTCCTTTTTGATTCTGTGAAACCTGGACAAGGCTGACATTCTTCCATGTTGCACAGTGTCTGCATTTCATAGGTCAGTAAAATGGTTTGATTGCAATAGTTAACCTTGATGCAGTTAACTGTTCCTCAGTGCCAAATGCTTGTAAGCAGAAGATATCAAAATGCAAGTTTTACTGTTATCTCCTTTTTTCCCACCTCCCTTCTTGCTTTGTCTTAGATGTAAAGGAGCATCCCATTATGGCCTTACAAAGGAACGAAAGAGACGTTCGCAAGATGGCTCTCCAGACTGTAGTTCCACTTTAACAGTAGCGGCTCTTGGCCCAGAGCTCTCTGCAGCTGCAGCTATAGCCTTAATGACAGATGAACCAGGCCTAGTTAATCCAGCCTTCAGCCCCACCTCTGAGGACAGCCAGTCGGGGAGTAGTTCTGGAGATCCCAATAGAAGCAACCGAAACAGAAGTAAGAGCTAAAAAATGATTTTCTCAGAGTCTAGAGGCCTTTCTCTGCATGCATCTCTGTAAACTTTATATTGCTGAAAGCTTTTAAAATCCATCGGAGAGGAGAAACCTGTCTGTATATGTTCTGTAACAGAATCATAGAAAAATCAAATCATAGAAAATCATTAGTCAAAGTGTTTATATTTAGGATGAAAAGGGCACATTTTGAAATGATCTAGTGTTTTGTGGATACAGTGGTTTCATAGGAAAACAAATCATTTAAAACTCCCCCCTAAATTCCAAGGTTATGTCACTCAATGAAGTTGGCATTGTTAAAAACGAACCACATGGTTAAAAAAGTGACATCTAAACCCCTGGCAGACATGCAGGTAAAGCCAGATGGGATCTGATGCATGATCATCAACACATCATGGTAGGAGGCGTGATTGTGGGATCATGCATCAGATCACATCATGCCACATTGCCTGTGCAGAGGTACCCCTGAATCAGCTGTCAGGGCTCACAGCTGCAAGAGAACATGGTGCACCCCCACATCTAGGAGCCTAGATCAGTTGACAGAGCTCCCAGCCATGGGAACACATGGTGTGCCCTGTGGCTGGGAACCTGGATCAGCTGATGGGGCTCCCAGCCGTGGGTGACACGTTCAATTAATTTGTGACAGGAACCAGCCACAAAGTTATTCCACATTTTTTTGGAAGTCACCATGTGGCTTATTCCTTATTTTATGATGCCATTGATTGCTTTAACATATGGCCTGGTTACAATTTAAGATGTGATTAACTTGGGGGCCCAAAAAGTATTTCCATGTTTCTTCATTCCTTAGCATGCTACCACCTCCAAAGGAGTGGCATATTTGAAAATACAGTTTGTCCAAATATTGACATCAGGTTTGGCCAAAGAAAAAGAATTGGTAAAGTCAGAAACAATGGTTGAGGGGTGGGGGGTGCAGGGATGGGGAGCAGGAGCTAGTGATGCATTTCTTGTCTTGGGAAAATGGACAAAGATCTAAAAAATAATGAGTTAAAAATTAGCTGAAATAAAAACTAAAGAGCAAAGCTTTGGCTCTGAGGACACGTGTTGGAAGAACAGAAGGAAAGGTGCAGACTGAGCATCAGAATCCAAGGCTAGTGGCACAGAATTGAATCCTGCTAGATTAGCTGAATCTTTCGGTGTTAAATCTGGTTTGGGGGAGTTCTGTGCCACTACATGCATAGCACTGAAAGATACAGAGTAATTCAAATGCCTTGATTCTGTCTATGGCACAGCAAAAACACGAATACATGATTTGTATTTAAATTTGTATACATTTATATTGCCTTGCCAAGTCAGTTTCACTCTTTTTTTTCTCCTCCCTCATTAAATAAGCACATTATTAGTTTTGCTTAAATTAAAAAATAATGTTCTAATGTCTTGCCTGTTTAAAACTAGGATCTGTTTCTGGTTTTTCACCTCTCTAATTGTGACTCTAATTTTACTACAGGAGGTCAGACTAGATAAGCCCAATTGTCTCCTCTGGGCTCATGTTCTTATTTATATCTATTAAAATATTAACAGCAGTTTGTTTTTGAGGGAGCAGGGGAAGGGAGTGAATGGTGAAAGAGCACTGTGGTGGGTTTGCAGCAGTGTCATAAGCTGCCTTCATAGAAAGACCTAGCAATAGTCCCAGTTGCATCCCTTCAGGTTGGTGGAACATAAACGGCTCATTTGCTGGGGAATGTCCCTTTCTTTAACATGCGTTTTCCACTAGGCATTCCATGGCAATGCTTTAGCTTTGGATAATGTAGTCCACCACACACTCCCCCTAGAAGTGAACACCATATTTAGGACTAGCTTCATAGATGGGATTCAAGATTTATAGAACAGCAGTCAGCAGCACTGCCAGAATGCCACCAAAGCCCCCTGGGTCTGCAGGCCAGATCCAGTGGTTTCATGGGTTGGACCTGGTCCATGAGCCATAAATTGTCAGTCCATGTTCTACAGTGTAGGTAGGTAAAGGTAGCACAGCAATTCTTAGAATTAAGGCTGATATATCTATGGGGCCAGGTGAAAAATTTAGGCAGCCAAGTGCAAAGATGAAGGGAAGGGGAGACTACAGAATGCTTTTGCCACTTCTATGACTTGTGTCCTCCATACATACCTAAGGTGATAGACAAGACATGGTTTTTTATGTCATTCAGCCCAAAGTTGCTGCACTCTGTGTTTTTTCTGTCTTGCAGCTCAGCACTTTGAACGTTCCACTATAAGAAGCAGGTCTTTTAAAAAAATAAATAAAGCTTTCAGCGTTCTTCGACGAACAAAAAGTGGAAGTGCAGTAGCAAACCAGGCTGACCGGGAGAGGGAAAATAATGGCAACTCTATTGCCACAGAAGAAGGTAATGCTTTGTTGTGTATTGTGCTATATACTGTGAAGGTATGAACAAGTTATTTCACATGACATGCTGCATAGGTCTTAAATCTTACAAGTGGTTTTTAAAATATAACATTATTCTGTCTTTAAAAGAAAATGCAATAGTGAGCCCAGGGGGACAGGTTATAGAAGCATGACATCTGAATGGGGATGTTCTGCTAATAGAAGGCTTGCTGCAGAGACAATCATGGCATGGGATTGGGAGACTGGGCATCCTGATTCTGTTGCTGGCTCTATCACTAATTCCCTCTGCAACTGATCAATTCATTTAATCAATGTGTGCGTTTTTATTTTCCCCTAAGATATTTGGATATTACCTCATCCATATTACAGGGGTTGTGGTGCTTTGTTAATGTTTATAAAGCATCTGGAAGATCCCCAAAAGGAATCTGTTTAAAATATTATCATTATTCCATCACTTGCATTTGAGTTTTTGGTAGCACATGTATGTTGTCATAGCCAGACAGGTAACACTGCAAGGACACCAAGCTCTATAACGGGGGAAAAAGAGGCAAGTTACTATGTACCAAATGTAAGGATAAGAAAGTGGAGGAAACATTAATTAGCACTTGACATGCTCAAAGCACTACTCAAATGTTAAACTAAATGTATTGTATTTGTGGTGCTTGTATATGAGACTCCAGCACTGCTGCACGGAGGGGAAGTGACAACAGCTTTAGAAAGAGAATGGTTTAAATGAAGTTTATTATTACTTCACCTTGAACTTCAATGATGGGTAGGTACATGGGACAAAATATCAGTTCTGTCCCCAAACCAGGTATCCAATTGCATATTTCTGTTTGATTAGATCAGCATTTTAAAAAGGAAAATGCCCAGTTCCCCATTGTTCTGTACCCTGTGCAGATAGTGACACCCATGCAAAAATGAGTGTAAAATGCTGTCAAATCAGAATGGTTGCATTTTGCATCCTCTTTGCCCAGGTGATTACACTAGATACAGAGGAACAAAGAGCCCATCTCAAAGGGCCTGATCCAGTTTGAACTCAGAGGCACCTACATTTGGGAGTTGGGCTATCTAAAACCTAGGTATCTTGGCTTGCGAAAACAATCTAATTTGACTAGGTTTAGGCACTTAGGATCTCTGTCCAGTTAATAGAGAGATTTAAGTGCCTGAAAATAACAATGCAATTTGACCAGGCTTGACTCTATAGAAAAAAATAGAGGTAGGTAGAGGTAGACACTTGGACAACCCAGAAAGCTCAGGAGCTCCTGGAGGTAGTCAGCAAGAAACTGTAGACATGCACACGTATCTGAAACCCCTATCCTCTTTGAGGCTTAGATGCCTGACTCATGCTGCAAGTAAGGTTCCTTCAGTCGCTGGGCTTTTTGAAAGTCTAGCCCTACTTCTAGAGGTGGGTACCTGTGGTAAAAATCAGAGAGCAGCAGTAACTTGTATTTCATATCTTACAAGTGGGTTTAAATTAGTGCTCTGGACTTTGCCCAAGACTGAATTTACCCTGTGTGCCCAGACATACTGGGGCAATGTGGAGTTTTGCTACCTCAGCAGAATTCCCAAACCAGAATTTTATCCTTAATACTTCCACTGACTTGCAGTTTGCAACCCCGAGTCCCACTCTCAACAATAACTTAGTGCTTAGAACATTTCCTCAGCAAGTAGGAAACCTGAGTGGTGAGTCCACCTTACCCTCCCAAGAGAGTTATGTAACCACCAGGCTTATGCTTCCTATTGAGTCCAGGGCTAGGTACAGACAGTCAAAAAGCCTGAGGCTAAATAGATTCAGTTTTTGCAGGTTAGTCTAAACTGTACAGATTAAATTGAAACAGAAGTGAACAGGCATTTACCTTTGATACAGGAAATGTAGCCACATGCCTGCAGTGGCTCAGGCCAGAGGCCAGGGGGCACTAGACAATGGCCCTCTGGCTGTGTTCACTCCTGTTCCTGCTGCCCCTGAGGTTTCCGGGTTTTTGCAGTCTACAGTCACAGCAACAGGACTCTGCAGGGTTGCTCATCACTTCCTCTTCCAGGTGCCTCTGGGATTTGTAGTCCACAGTTGCAGCCAGCAGTAAGTTTGAGTTGGGGGAAGGGATGTTTAACCCCCTCCCTGGCCCCAAACCCCAGCTGGGGTTTGTCTGAGGGGGAAATCCCCCCACTGTAGATGGGGCTGCATCCCCAGCTGGGCTTGCCCCCACCCCACCCCTTGTCAGGCAGCCCTCACTGCTCCAGCTAGGGGGCAGAGGGGCAGAGCCAGACCTGCTCTCTGGAGCAGACAGCCCAGCCCAGCCCAGCCCAGGACTGGAAAGCATGTTGGGATGCTGGGGGACTGTGATTTAACTTGAACCAGGAAGGGGTCTGGGACAGAAGTTTCATAAACTGGTTTCATCCAAATCAGTTAAGTCTCACACTACATTCAATCAGGTTTATCTTAAACCAGTTTCAGCCATTTTGAAACTGGTTTATGTACACTGAGCTTCTGTTCTGTTACAGATTTAAACCAGTTTCTGATCACTTAAAGTATTTTATGTGTAACTTCTGTCCCTAGCCCAGAAGTGCAAGTCATGGAGCTGGAAGGACAGTAGGCAAGAGGGAGAATGACTCTGGAACCCAGTGAGAATGAAACTTTCCTGGAAATAGGAATCCTAGATTCCAGAGTCTGTTTGCAGGATCTTTTTATTCAAAACAATCAAAGTCTAATGTAAAATGCATAAGCTTTCTTGAGAATGGGGCTCAAAACTCAGGCTTCCACCACCTAAGTGCCATTGCCACTAAATTGCAGAGGCAGATTGCATGTTTGTTCCCAGAATTCTTTATGTAAGTTCATAGATTCATAGATGTTAGGGTCGGAAGGGACCTCAATAGATCATCAAGTAGGTCTTTGTATCATTTGTTAATCTTTGCATCATTTATGTTTTATTATTTATTTATTATTTGAATTGTGCTAGAGACTGGGAACCCCAGGCATGGTCCAGGACCTCATTTTTCTAGGTGCTGTCTATATGTACAAACTCACCTGTTGTTGTAGACTGCATTTGAGTTTAAGTGTGGGCGCAGACAGAAGTTACATTTATCATGTGATTAGCCCCCTGAAAGCATTCTGTAGCCATGCTGTGATACACACGCATGGCTGGAGAATGCTTTAGAAGTGGTTGATTGTGTGAAACATTAACCCTCATCAAATGACAGATCAGATGAGCATCTTTGGGAACTTCTGTCATGCAATTAGGGCTGGGCTGATGCAGCCTGGCCCTATCCCCAGTGCTGTCTGCAGTGGGGAGGCTGAGTGAGCTGAGGGCTGGAGTTTGCATGGGCTGAGCTGGAGGGGGACATGGGGTGGATTGGACCCCTCCCCTTGTGGCCCCCCAGCCCTCCCTCTCCTGCTCAGGAGGGGCAAACCCCAGGCCACAGTCCACTCCCCCTCCTTTCTTCCTCTTCCCTTCCTGGAGACAGCACCAGACCTGGGAGCGTGGTGTGAGGCTGAGAGAGAGAGGCTGCAGGCAGGCTCCTCAGGCTCAGTTGGCTCCAAAGTGGAACTCAGTTTCCCTCCCGCCCACAATCTGACCTAATAGGTGGATATCTGTTGGGTTAGGGGGCCACTCTAAATCATGGTACTTTATGTGAAGTGCCACGAGTTAAAGTGTGGGCCTGCATGTCTGTCAGCACCCTGTGTGATCTGATTGCTTTCTTCCTGGAGGTCTCAGGGAAGTGTTTCTCATGAAGGAATCCCAGTGAGAACAAAGGGGAACAGGACCTGCTGGGTTTTAGGAAGAGTGGAAGAATAAAAAGAAGTGAACAGTCCTGCAGAAAACTAACAACTTGATAGTCACAAGAGAGAACGTTACGAGAAAAAGAATCAGGTTTCATAAAAAACACTGACAGTCAAACTCAGTTTAAGGTAAAAGTTAAAATGTTTCAAATAATTTAAGCTAAGTGGTAAATTAATGAAAGCATTTAAGCAACTTAATTGGGTTTACCTTAAAATAATTTTGAAATCTATGATTTTTTTTCTGAAATGTTTTCACTCCCAATTGCCTCATGTGGCCTTGTTTTCTGGGGTCTGGGTTCTACCATGTTGTCTCAGGAGGAAGACAATTTGCAGTAAAAGACAGATATTACTCTTTCTCACTCAGCTAAAGAAAATCCCACATATGCAGTAGATCTTGTATGTTTCCACCATGGAGACAAGCCACCAAGTTTTGAAGTTAGGGCCCTAAGAAAAGGGACTCAGTGCAAATGAGCTAAGGGCAAGAGTGTGACCTTTTGTGGATGCAGGCTCACAAAGCACTTTTCCCCTGTGGTCAAGATGGGATAGAGCAGCAGTAAGATATTCTGGGTAGCAATAATGGATACAGAAATGGTGAATTTGTTTATGTGCACCCTTGTCAGTGGCGATGCATAGGGGATGTACCAGGGTTCATGTGCATCCCCTGAGTGTGCTGGCACACCCCCTGACCAGCTACACTCACCACTTAGGCGATGGGCAGGAGTGCCAGTGCCCCCTGCAAGTGCCGGCCAATCACTGCGATCGCTGCGACCGCTTCTGGGAGTGGCTGGAGCCGCTTCTTGGGGGCACCGGCAGTAATTGGGTGGTTCTGGGAGCAGCTGCAATGATTGGCTGGCGTTTGCTCCCAGAAGCGGCTGCAGTCACTCCTGGAAGCAGCTGCAGTGATTGCAGCGATCGGCCATTGTGCGTTTGCCCAGGAGGGATACCGCCCCTTCCCCCCCTCCCCCCGCAGTCAGCAGGACTGGTTGCAGGGGGGGCACATGCACCCCCACACACACACTAAGGTGGCACCAGTCACCCATGACCCCTGTGGAACTCCCTGTTCCATGTCTGGCTATTTCAGTTTGATATAAAGAGCAGAAGTTCATCATAAGCAAGATGACAACCCCATTCACTGAAGGGAAGATACAATCTAAGGAACATAAATGCCAAATAAACTAATTTTATATGCCTAGTGATCAGCTGTAGGCCTATCAACAGCTTCT